CAGGAGGTAGATTTGTTATGTTTAGTATTATGTATACCACTTCATGCACACCTCTTTCTCTCTCTTAAAATGACACAACTTTATATCCTTTAAAATGACATAACTTTATATCCTTCAAAATGACACACTTTTCCCGTATAAAAATTCGAAATTGTTATGTTTAGTATTATAATTGAAAATTACTTGAATACTCAAAACTGAATAATTAAGACAATATATATACTAGATTTGGGTTGCTTTCATTCATTTCTAAATGGCTAAAATAAATGTATAGTGAATTTAGATATTCAATATTCTCATGTATCATAATCAATAATCGATTAAATTTTAAGTTTGATATTCTCTTAGTACATGTTTAATTTGGTTAAGAAAACAAATCACTTTTATTTTATTTTATTTTAAAAAAAATCTTTTAGGGAGCTAGTTATATGTATAATGTTTTTTTTAATCTCGAAATAAGTTAATCCAAAAATGTTTTTCGACAGGTAATAACTTAAGAAAAATATAAAAAGGACAATGACTAATACAAAAGGGTTTTGGATTCGCGTGCATTTTTATGATTATATATGATGCCATCTTAGTCTTACTAACTTGAAGATGTATTAGTATCTTATATGCTAGAGAAGTTTTATATAAAATATTAAAGTGATCTTTATTTAACATTTTGAATTTTTAGGTGAAGTGATTGTTTCATATGATATCAGAACTAATGACTAAGTATTCACGAGTTTGATTATCATCGTTCTATTCTTCTATTAAATATTTGATTGTAAAATTTCTTAGCACATGTACATGAATTTGTACATTATCCACCATTCATGATTTCATTATCCATTCTTTAAGACTAATAGCCTCTTGTGATTTATAACCTTCACTTACTAACTTAAATTTTAGGCCTTTTAAATATAACATGATAAGGGAAACGACAGATCGATCATGATAGTAAAATGTATATAACACAACAATTCAAGCTTTGATTAGATTAAAAGATGAAGTTTGTAAACATTTCACATCATATCATTAATTAGTGGTTTGTATTAATTGCCTCTTTAGAAATGTCGAATCATTTTGACAGGAAAAAGATTAAGAATGGAATCAAAATCCAACAACCTCTCTATATAATTTGTGCTTTAAAGTGTATGTTGATTATCTTACATCATTTTTGTTGTTTTACTAACTTCCTAGTAATTTCAAATGTATTACTTTACCGAGACAGAAACATGATTAAGAACATAATCTAAACCCGACAAACTTGAAATAATCAGCTGTCCTTTAAATGTAATTATGTCGTTAAATCATAACTCAGGTTGCAAATGGTATGATACTTCAATTGAAAATTTGCTTATAAATGACAAACGCTAAAGAATATATATTTGCATGATGAATGCAGGTTCAGTCTTCATTCAAATCATAAGGTAGTTGTGTCATCTCGAAATGCCGTGATCAAAGGGAATGAGGACAAAATAGTTACAACTTTAAATGGGACACCTTAATTTCCCATTCAATTAATTTGTTTATGATGACAAACCAGCCCTGTAGATTTATAGATGACAAAGGTAGTTCTTTTTCTTTACTGAGGTTCGTTTGATAGCTCTTCCAAGGTCGTTTTCTCCGTCAAACCTCAGTTAGGTACTTCCACAGTTTCATTCTCACTGACTATTCTTTCAAATTGTTGAATGGCATTTTTGGGCCTGTTTGATTACTGTTTTACAAAACAGATTTTTAGTTTTAGGAATAGAAAAACAAAAAAACTTGTTTGAGGTTAAGAGTTTTGTGAAAATAATTTTTGAAACAGTTTTCTATTATTTGTTTTTAGAACTGAAATTGGAGAACCAACCTGACTTGTTTTTTTTTCTCATTTTTAACTTTTTGTTTCCAAAACATACAAACATGGATAACCGTGTGATAGAAGAGAAAAAAAAAATTACTAGATAAATATAATTAATAGGAATATAGTGATAAAATGAGTTTGGTAGGAAAGTTAAAAAAAAATTATTTGATAGAATGAAATATTACCACAAAAATAAGAAAAGTATTTCCTTAAAACTAATAGTATAAAGCAACAGAAATATTTGAGAGAAAAAAAACTATAATGTAGTACTAAGCAAAATCCACACACACACACACACACATATATATATACACATATATATATCAAGTATACAAGTTCTTGGGATTTTTTCAACTTAATTTCAACTGCATGTCCATTGTTACTTATACTAGACCATGGATTTCAGATACTTCTGTAACCAAGCTTTATTCCTCAGCAGCGAGGTACCAGCTATATATGTATATATAAACAAACATGAAGCATAGTAAAGAACTTGGTATGACAAAAGCCTCAATTAACACACACACACACACTTAGTTATATATATTTATTAGGAATTATACAGTTAAATAATATGGTCAAGGGATGGGATAAACAACCACTTTTCCTGTGACTAGCAGTTTCCAAGTAGGAATAGGCTTCAATAACCTGAGAAAATGGCATTGGAGACTTGGAATCGAGTATTGGCTTCAACTGACCACTCTCAAAGTAAGGTCTTTAACTTCTCTAAGATAGAACCTTTAGAAGTGACAATAGCTGTAAATTTATTGAGATGAGAACAAAGAAGAATCAATGGTTTATTGAGGAGTAAGATTGACTTCCACTAATATAAATTTATATTTTCCGTGTATATATATAGGGACAAGATAATTTTATACTAATGCATCTTACATTTTTTATTTTATTTTTTCAATTTTAACATTTGCTTCTGATGTATAAAGAAAGCACAAGTTAATGGATGTTATTCTTCATTTGTTATGGAATTTGTGACAGGTTACAGCTGTAATGGATGTTATTAATACTTCATCAGAAAGTGATGCTTGTAGCTGTGAGGAATCTCTATCTGATTAGTAAACTGACCCAATGCTTATAATTCTGATGTAAGGAATCTCTTATTTTGTTTTCATTAGTATGCAATGTGATTTATTTTTATTTTGTTTTCGCTAGTTTGCAATGTGATTTACTTTAATCTTAAAAATAATTATTATGTGATTTGTTATTGTGTTAAAAATATATTTATTAAAATGTATTTAAAATTTTTACATATAGTTAAAAAAATTATAAAATGAAGTTGACAAAAAAAATAATAGTCAATCAAGTTTTTTGTTTTTTAACTTTGAAAATATGTTTTTAAAACAACATTACCAAGCAAGTTTTTCTGTTTTTTAAGTTTTAAACAATTTTATCAAACAGATTTTTTCCTTCTTTTATTCTGAAAAACAATTTTTATAAACTGTTTTAAGAACAAAAAAATCAGAACACAATCAAACAGGCCTTTTATCTCGATGGTTTTTGTGTTGTTGCAGTGAAGGACGTGCTCTTGAAATTGAAGCCCCTTCTCACAAAGAACAAGCTTTTGGTTTCGGTTGCTGCTGGAGTTAAGTTGAAAGATCTTCAGGTTGTGGAATTGCAATTTTTATTTTTTTCTTGCTTTTTGCTTTTATGTACTTGTGCTGTTGGAGTATAATTTCAATAGGAGCATAACATAAATTTTATTTTTGGCTAAAAAAAATAGAATAGAGTTAAGAAAAAGCTTATAGCATATTGCTTCTTATTTATGGCAGAATGTGGGGATAGTAAGAAAATTAAATAAAATAAAATAAAAATTCAAAAGTTTTTGGTTTCATCACAGTACTTCTCTACAAGCCATGGGATAATTGTGTAGAGACATTGAAGGAAGCCAGGAACATAATATTGTTTTGGTTTTAATTAATTGATTTTTGGCTACCAGGCTAGCCTAACTTGTGGGGCTATATAAAGTTTTGGCCCGTGCGGGCTTTTACATTTGCGAACTTTTTGACCCTAGCCCGCGTATTAAGGCGGATATGCCTGTTTTGACATAGATGTAGCTATGGGTGAATGAATATTCTGACTCCAAATTAAGCTATGGCTTGCATAAATTGCATTACTTCAGTAATACTGACTTGTAGTCAAATCTCAAACCTAATCCTTGAGCGGTTGTTTGACAAAGTGTTGCATAACATTCAGGGTACGTATATGTGTGACTATGAATATGATGGACACACTCTTGGATAAATATAATGAGAGCATCAATTATTGATTTGAGTTCAACTTTCACCGGAGTGATTCTTGCATATGTATGTTTTTATTAGGCACATGCAATCAATAAAAAATTTAAGATGACATTTAAATTTTTGTTAAGATTTTAAGACATTGTTGATTTCTTGGCCAGCCACGTAAATATAAATTAAGTGAGAGTCTGTCTATATCATTACAACAGTTTAAATAATCACTGAAAGCGTATGCTTCTTGAATCATTTTCCTAAACACACAATGATATAAATTAATCTTATATTTAATTTCACTTATCAAAATATCAACACGTACAACAACAAAAAACCACCAATAACAGTGGCACAAAAAGTTTTACATGAAAAACTCAATTGGGAAAAAGCATAGGGACAAAAAATAATAATTTAACTAATATTTTCTCTAACTCGCTCCCCCTAGAAATGTTGTAACTTAAGCTTTCTCTCTAAAGCATCCCATTCTATCTAATGTGAAAATTAATAACCACCATACTAATAATATTTTTATATGTGTGAAACCTAATAGCCCGCCATAAAAATCAAGTCAACAATGATCAACAATTTCAACAAAAAAAAAAAAATTGTTGTTTTTTATTGTTATTTTAATGTAACTAGAGTTTTTGATTGCTTGTCCCTGACTAATAGGAACTTGTTTCATATAAGGAAAATCTCTTTCAGGCAAGTTTACATAACAACACAAATCAAACACATCTTGTGGTAGCTGGAAATATTCCATGACAATCTTATCGTATATCATCACCAGATTAATTAAAGCATGTTAGTTTCAAACCAGCCGGTTGATATCTAACAAAAAAAAATGTTCTGACTTGTGACTTGTGAATATGGTGGAGTTTATGTAGCGTTTGGTTGGTGGGTCCATTGGGCCTAGAGGGAGAGCCCACCAGCATAACACTCTCTCTTGTCCCAAGCTCTTCGACTCTCTCAAACTCCACTTTCACACTTTGAATTGCAACAACAAACACTGTGAATCTCCATTGACATATGGGGCATTGAATCCACCTTTGTAACCTTCTCTCTCTCTCTTGTGCTTAACATTAACATTAAGTATTTAATTTAATATTTTTTTTTGTGTTGTTTCGGTAACCGTTTTTCTGTTGAGATCCTTCTGATGTCTTGTGTGGTGTTATGATAGGAAAGAGAAAGTGGGAAATTTGTTGAAATTTGATGGCTGGGAATCCCTTTGTTCAGCATGAGTTTGGCTTTCAAAGCACAGAGTCAGAGAAGGGTTGTGTTGTGGATTCAGCAGTGACCCTTTTGATTAAGCACCTTCCTGAAGCCATTCCTCATGACACCCTTTCTCGACTCTTATCCCATTATGGCGCTTCCTCCGTTCGTCCTTGCTCTAGTGGAAGGTATATAACTGCTACTCATTATTTTGATTGGGGCTATATGATGATAATGGTTAGCATTTTTTTTGTGAATATTGTGTTTGAAAGATTTTGGAAGGGGTATTTCATTCCTCATTTCAGGAGTGAACATTTGATTATGATTATATTTTAGCATTGGCAGATACCCTTTTTTGTCCTTTGTTATCGGAATTGCTTACATGATTTTTACTTTGCATGATGTGTTAGGTCATTTGCGGCCTCAAGTAATGAAATGAAAGAATAGGAGAATTTTTTATTTTTTTTGTGTGGAAGAATTGTTAATTAAAGAACTGATTAAAGCTAAAGGAGTTTAACAAGTAAATAATCTGAAAACTTGTAGACTATAAAAGAAAAACAACAAAATTGTTTATTTCAATAGACTTATTTAGTCTCCAGAATTTAAATTTTACAGTGTCAGATCATCCTCTAGTTCTCTCCTCATTCTCCCTACTATTACCACTTTGTGGTTGTAATTATTTTTCCCCTTTGAAGAGTTTAATCTTGCTTGGTAGCCAAAGGTATCTAATAATTGTAAGTAATTATTCTTTTCTTATCTGTACTGTCATATCTCTGAGAGAACTATGTATTGGATACAATGTTGTACCGGTCTCCCATTAATTTGAATATTCTGGCAGTAATCACACTATGACGACATGCACCGGATCCATCAATACAATGATATCCTTTGAATGTTGGGTCCAGTGAAACATCCTTTATCTTTGGAGGAAGACTTGAATCACTATAAGATTTATAATTTTGTTAGGAATAGATAAATTGTATATTATGTCTACCTGTGTTTTTTATTGTGTGCCTTAGCTTTTTAATCATTTTTATTAACTTAATTACTAACTGACTAATAACTCACTGTTAAACTGTGCTACTTTAACCTCACTTTTGTCCTTGGTGGTGCCTCCAAGTCCCTCATAGTATTCAATAGCATGGAAGATTTGATTTGCATTTGGCCAATTTATATTGTTTATTCCAATTTATTTGTGTGCATGAATACTGTCAAATGATGCATACATAATATTTGCTTGTTCTGATGCAGGTTGAGAAATTGTGCTTTTGTGGATTTCAAAAATGATATGCTGGCGTCTCAAGCTCAACGTCAACTAAATGGGTATTATTCTTTGAATCATTTGCTTTCTTTTTTATTATTTCAAACATTGAAATAAAATGATTCCATATTTGAAGGGATGGCCTTTGTTTGCCATAGTCTTGTTTGGCTTTATTTTGCAGTAACTATACTAATATCATTTTCGATTTTGGTGACATTATAAAGAAAATATTTACCAATGAATTCATTATGAGTCAAAGATAAAATCATAAAGTTGTTTAGAAACTAAATGCTTTGTACGGTTGTATCTTTGTTTCCTTGGGGTTGATCAGGTTGAGATTTCTTGGTAAAGTCTTGTCAGCAGAGAGAGCTAGTAACCCAATTGAGAATGGTGAAAAAAGTGGTGGACCTCAGCTAGGAAAGGACTCTAGAACATCAGTTGTGAAGAATGCAAATATAACCAAACCTATTGATGGAGATACAAAATCAGGAGGCCTCCCTATTCCTGAGCCAATTGCTGAAAGACTTGGTGTTGATTATCCATTTCCTCCTCATCTTGAGTATGCTTCTTCTTCTCACTTTGCAGTCATTAGTATTTGTTGCTTTATTGCAATAGGATGCTAAAGGGCTGCCAGCAGGGGCACAAATATGGCAGATAATTTAACAAAACAAAATGAAATGAAAAATGAATGAAAGTAACTGGAAACTCTTGAACGAAAAGACTGAGGAATCAATGATTTTATGTTGTTGAGGTTAACGGGGTAGAATCTGGAATCAATGTAAAAGTATTATTCTGAGAATTTCGTGCAACAGATCCATTGGTGTAAAAAGTAAAATTTGGCTGGGCAATGTCATGGTAACCCATTTTACTTGATGCCATTCTCCTATGCAAGTATAGATGTCTTGAATAGAGAATGACTTTTAAGAATGAGCAGTCTATAGTCTATATTTTGTCCCTCTTTTGCTCTCCCTCTTGCTCCAAATTTCTACTCTCCCTTAACATCTTGTTCTGCTTGAGTGTTATTGCATTTGATTCAAGCATAATGTATTTGGCGAAGCAGAGTGCCATTGCAACCAGCAATACTTTTCAATGTGTATATGTATTCTTTCCTTTCATTTATTATATCAAAGATCTAGATTTCTGGTGATTATTTCTGTCCATTAATTGTCTTAGCTGTTAGATCTGGCCATTTGGGATGGAAACTTTGAATGATAACCATGGATAGCTTTACCAAATGTTATTTTATTGGGCACCTCTTACTGAATAAAGTTAGTCTTTAATGGTGTGCTACTGCTACTAAATAAATTTGTGATTGTTAAATATGTTTACCATACTATCATGTATCCTAATTATTAATCATGGAAAGTTCTATTTACAAGTATTTCTTTTTGAAAACCATCTTTACACTATAGAATTGTCATAACATCTATGTTAGCCTTTCTGCATAAATACTTAAAATTTATACAAAATGCTTTTCTATTTCGAAAATATCGAATATCTTTTGTTTGGTTTGCATATAATTTAACGAAACTTGTTTTTCAGGTATGCTTATCCTCCACCTGATGGAAATATACTGACCAACATAGTGAATGCTTTAATTGCTGTTCCCCGCTTTTACACTCAGGTTGTTCCACTGCTAAATGAGGCAGCAAGGATGTATTGGTTTCTTTTTCCAGCACTTGGAGCGTTTTATGTGTGCTCATTTCATACTGAACACAAATAGTGATCATATTGGTTTTACCTTTCGAATTTAGGTTCTACACTTAATGAACAAAATGAACATTCCGGCTCCATTTCGTATGGCACTGCCCACACCACCATTACCTCCAGAGGTACCAGCCCCACCACAGCCGCCACCTCCTACTATAACTGTGAAGCCTCGGTCTGCAGATCTGTCTAGTGGTGAATCAGAGATGGAATCTTCAGATGAGGTAACATCTTCATTGCTTCTAGGGAACAAACCTGTGGACAATGGAGCCTATGTTCCTTGTTTATAGTTTACTCCTTTGTGTAACAGCATACAAGGCACAGATTGCCTAAATCTTTGAGAATTGTTATAAAACATTAACGTTTAGTTTTGCATCTATCTATAAATTTAATGTCATACACTTTTCTTTAATGTAATATTTCATGAAAAATACCTTTTATCACTACACATTGCTTAGGCTGCACCTTCCTGTTATCAAACTATAAAAATATGGTGACAATAGAAGATTCTTTTTCCTATCTTTTTAGCAAAATTTGGTTACCAAAGGAAAGTAATAAAAGGTTTTTAGGAGGATGGAGCAAGAACAGGAAAGTCTGGACAAAAGCGTGCCAGGCATGAGAGTTTTGTTGGCCCTGCCATTGATAAAGACGTGGCTCATGAGTCTGTTGGAGTAAAACCAGCCTCCTTGGTCCCGAAAGAAAGGCCGGTGATAAAAAGGAATCATGTCTTAACGGTATTTTCTTTCCAAGAGATTGTTTGCATGAGCACATTAACATTGTTTTCAGCTTTTAATTTTTGTTTTGCTTTATAATTTTACAGATAAAAATTGCTCCCAAAGCAACCCTGAATGAACATAAAGATGATGACACAAGACAAGAGTTACAAGAGCCGGAAAAAGATATTCCAGATACTAACAAATTTTTGACTCGAGAAGAATTAGGGAGAGGAAAGTTACCTCCTGAGGAAATCTTATCCCTTCCAATGTTTAAGGTATGGATGTAAGATATCTAGAAACTTCCGGTGCTACACAACCAAACCTTATCCCTTTACTGGTGAAAGTGGTACATTCACAATGGAGACAAAGCAAGTTTCTCAATTTAGTGTCTGCCAGTTGGATCAAAAACATTTTTTTTAACCTCATAGAAGATCTTGATTTGTTATATGCTCATAGCATGTAGCTGGAAACTAATTATGGCATTTAACTGCTGCTACTGTCCTGTCCTGCGTTGGTTTATAAATGAGAAAAATCTGCTTCGATACTCTATACAACATGTTTTGTCAAAGTAACACAATACACTTGGCTTAAAGGAATTTACCACCTGTGGTGCACAACACTCACGAGTTTTACAGTTTGCACTAGCATGGTTGAGCGGAAGGAAAAAAAGATTGTATGATTTAGGTTTTGGTTACCTTTGCAAACCATCCTGTCTCTATTATGGAAACCACTTTGTGTCGTCACATTTTAAAATAAATTTAGGGATAGCTTGGATTTCCCTGTCTTGATGTGGCAGAAGCTCCCTGAATGAGTGTTTTTTGTGACGATCAACTTGAATTAGTTTCAAGTGAGAAACTCTTACTGCTGACAAGTTAGCCTTTTACATAATCTTAAGTCTCATTGCACCACTTGGCCTTTGTTAATTTTATTTCCTCAGTGTGCTCTGACTACTGAGTTCTAGATGATGAAGTGATTAATCTATGAAACTTTGTGATTACTAATCTTCAAATGCATCTGATATTGTCCAATGATTCTTGTTTCCTTATAAGATCAAATATTTGCAATTGTGCGTGATTAAATAGCGTAGAAATGATTTGATTTATGAGAGCTTCTGGGTTGCACTAGTGTATGTTTATGGGACATTTGTTTTTGAACTGATGGATTGTGCAGAACTATACTCCTGGAAATCCTGCTCCTGTGTTGTATATTAAGAATTTGGCAAAAGACGTGATTGCTGATGATTTCTATTTTATATTTGGTGAGCTTTCAAGTCTTTTACTGGATTCAGGTCTTGTTTAATACTTTTCTCTTGCAATTTTGAAATCTTTACCATCCAAAAATGAAATATGAGTATGTACCAACAAAAAAAAGAAAAAAGAAATGAGTTCACCAAAAAAAATTTTGAAATACTGAGTTTTGCATAATAATTAATAAATAATTATTCGATGAATGTTAATTCTATAGTTTACGCTATCTTCTTTTATTGCTACAGGGTCCTTGTTTGGAAGTATTGAGGCTGCTAAGTCTGGTCTTCAAGTTAAACTGATGCAGGTAAGATCTTGATTATTCCATTTTCAATCTTTGCTGTTGATGTTATGCAAAATGAAACCCAAAATAAATAGTGGGTTGTTATTAAAATGATCCAGTTGATTAACACGCTGGTGCAGATTAGTCGACCCTGAGTGCTGATTCAACCAACCAGTATTTACATCCCCATGAAAGTCTTGTAGTTGCAGTAGCATATTTGTTAGCCTGAAATTAATAGCTAGTTTTGAATTTCAGGAAGGAAGGATGAGAGGTCAAGCGTTTTTAACATTTCCCTCAATTGAACTGGCTCATCATGCTCTGGTATCTTTCTCACACGAGACTGGTTTTCCTCTTTTTAATTGTTTGTTAAAATATTGATGATTTATTCTAGATGATTATGTTTTCAGATTGTTCATGCCTGTGTTACAGTCTCTTTTCTTCTTGTGACATAAAATTCTTGCAAAATTTACTATATAAAGAAATCAATAAGGTTGTGGCACTAGCTTTTTGGGACATTATTACAGCAGCATATGCAGTTTGATATGCCGATAAAAATTAATTCCTCAAATAATTTTCTTGCACTTAATGATTTTTTATTGCATATTATCATTGGTTGCAGAATCTAGTGAATGGATATGTATTAAAAGACAAGCCTATGATCATCCAGTTTGGCAGGAATCCTGCTATTGCCAAGGGAACTTAACCTCTATGGACACAGGAGGGATGTCTTGTAGTTTATGTGCTTTATAAGAGGCACGTGACCGCTTGATTACTTGTATAACAACAGACACGGCTAATGATGATGCATTCTTCATTGACTGAGAGAGAACTCTTGTGTTAGACCACCACGAGGACAACATTCAGAAATGTTAGTCATATGGATGCTGGCACGTGCTTTCTTCCTGAGATTGTCAGAGTGAGATGCTGAGATAGAAAACAAATTTGCTTTCTAAATGAATTTAAGGTTCACATGTTAGCAAGAGCAAACTAAGGTATATAACAAAGGACACCCCAAGTAGCATTGCTGTAGCTATAGGCTCCTTACTGGTGTAGGAGACAGCTGATTAACTATATTGTACACATAAGTAAGAGGGTCCACTTGGTTTAGGGTATAAAAAAATATGGTACTTGGTTCATTTTCCGCTGTAGAAGCAGGTTGCTTGGATTTGTGGTAAGAAAATAAACTTTAATTTAGATAGGTATTTCTGAAGGAGCAATTAAAAAAGTGTGGTTTAGCATTCCTCAATGAGAAACAGTAATGATCAGAAGTAAAGATAATCCGGGGATGTAGAACAACCATGTTATTTTATAGCCTCAACATGTTGGTAGCTCTGGCTCAAGCAAATCTATCCTATGGGCCTCAGATACTCCAGTAGTAGTGAAGATTTTTCCATCCTTTTTACAAAATAATAATGGATTTTATTAATGTTATGTTACATAACTTAAGTTTTGTTTTCAACACATACAACAAAAGGGAAAGAAAAAGTGGAATGATGAAAGAGAAAGAAAAACATGTGGAGTCTTCAACTTTTTTTTTACACAAATATATGGTTACTAACATACCTAATATCATACTTTCTTTTCCATAGCTTGACACAACTATTTGTAGTCTTCAACTTTTTTTTTACACAAATATATAAAAACCAAGCATTCAATCTCTATGCCTCAAGTTAGTAGTTGTACTCGTCATTTATACATTTGACTGAAAGCATGTGCCATAGGGTACAAAAAAATGATCACAATCATTGAATTCCACAGTAACATAGCACCCTAACTTCAATGAGTATCCAAGTTTTATTCTTTCTAATCAGAGCTTTACCAAATAAGGTAAATTTGCAATAACCAGAACCACAAAAAAGATGTGAAATGATGGAAATCGTAAGTAAAACATACCAGGTAGAGAAGCAAAAACAGGCACAAACTAGAGGTTGCTTCCAGATGAATATAAGAAGTGGTTCATTTGAGACAACTAATAGAGAGAGAGAGAGAGAGTTCATAGCAGAGTGACTAACCAACCACACTAAAGCAGATGTTTGATCTCTTAGAAGATCAAGAGTCTACCGAAAGGTGAAGGAAGATAGTGACATATTTCAAGTAGTGTTCTCTGAAAATTAAACAACAATTATATCTTAGAAAAAAAAATTGAATGAGAAACTTATGATTATTGAAGTACAAACTCTAGTGTTTGATTTACTTGAAGTTGCTAAAAGTAATTGAAATAAACAAGACTTCGCCATTTTAAGGTTTAATGGCATCCATTATGTTAAGACACAAACGAAATAATTGGTCGACTATCAAATCATGTAAATGCTAGACTACTAGTTAGCAATTTTCATTATATTTTGTAGTCTTCAACAATAGACCTCAAAAAGAATAAATCAAAAAAAAAAAAAATCAAAGGAGAAAAAAATGGCAAATCACCCACATTAACAGATGAAAAACTCCAATAAAATTGCCTCACTCACAGGTCCTGTAATGGCGGCAACAAGGTCTGTCGGAGACAACAACCACGCGCAGGTGGAAACGCCGACAGCAAGATCGACCACCGGCAGTAAAAGAGCACAAGGGCTGGCGCAACGATGGTGGGTCACATACAGGGCTGAGACGGCGATGGCAGATGGTCGCGATGGAGTGACATGGACGCAGACGACAATCTACTGGAGGCTTGATAGGAGGAGCGGAGAGGGTAAGAGAGCGGGAAAGTGTGGCAGACGTTGAGTAGTGACGTGAAATGGAAAATTTTGTGAAATGGAGGAATTAGATCACAACCGTCGACTAATCAATTAATCTCACGGTAATTAATTGTTTGTAAACATTTGTAAACTATTTACTTTGTCAATATAACTATTCTCATATATATAATAACAATTTTAATTAAAGAAAAAATTTGACCCGCGGGCCAATCTTAACCCAACCTGCTAAATTATAAGGTTTTGAGGGTTAGAGGCAAAAAAAAAGCTTACCACAAAAGGCCCTAACAAATAGGGCTATGCGAGCTAGCCCGCAGGCTTCAGCCCATTTTGACACTTATATTTTAAAGAGAAATTATAATTTATTCCACTTAGTAAAAGTTTTCCATACTCTTGCCAGTGATTTTTCCTAATTGGGATTTTCATGTAAATATCGTGTCTCACTTCAATTGATGTAATTGCATGTGTTGACTTCTTGACAAGTAAAAATTTAAGATAAAATTAATTCATACCATTGGTGTTTAAGAAACTTGTTCAAATTTAATGATTATTTAATTAGTCATTGTTGCATAGCACACAAAAACTCCCAGTAAACTTACACTTACCTGACCAATTGATATAATTAAGGGTTATGTTTATCTCATTTTACATGAGATAAACATCTCTCCTACACACACAAAAAGGGTTGGGTCCCACCACTTTTTTTTTCTCTCTCCTCTTACATGTGGGTCCCACTTATACTTTTATTTCTACAACATGAGGTAATTCTTTTCCTACAACATAAGAAAAATATATCCCTATAATTAAAGGTGTCTTGAAATTCTAATATCTCTAAGCAGTATGATATTTTTGCTACCTAACAACTCTGTTTTTTTATGTGGACAATAATCTAATTGGTTTTGAAATCTGAAATTTTTTCCATTCAATGTTTTCTTAAACTTTTGTATTGAATTATTTATCAGAAAAATATTTCTGCAGTTACTGCATATAAGTTATCTACCTTTACTTCCAAAACTCCGACATTTTTGGATTGAAATATTAAAAAATTATAATTATAAAGACTATAATAACCCAGAAATAAATTAAAATTACAAAAGCACCATGATTTTTGCCCCAAAATGACATCGTATTGGACTTTCTACAGATAACTTATATGCAGTTACTGCAAAAAAAAACGAACCCATTATTTATTTGTAGAAACTGTTCAATATTTTTTTTGGTGGGTTAGGGGGAATAAATATCCGCCGAAAACATATTTAATCATCGTATGCCATTGAGAACTCTGACTTAAATTAAAATATTTTTAATAGGTCAGTAAGAGAGATGGACATTATTTTCTAATTTTTCAACAAACAAAATTATAAAAAAATTTATAATTTTAATTTTACAAATTAACTATCAATGAAAATATTTTTCTCAAAAAAGTTTGATGAAAACTCATTAAAAATTAATGGAATTTGTCTAATAATTGGAGGAAGTTTTCCTTAACCTTCTTAAAGTATTCCAATCAATTTTAAGTGAAAAAAAATATATGTTGAATTAATTTTAATTCTTTTATTTTGTGAATTATTTTTTTGAAAAAATTAAGGAAAAATTGTAAAAGCACCCTTGAATTTTACTTTTTATCAAATAGCTATAATTAATTTAAACATTTCTAAAATAAAAACTTCATTTTATTGTATTACATTTTTTTTTAATTCATTACATTCGTCTTTTAATTTCTAACTCAGGTATGAGGTAGTGTTTCGTCTAGGGCTGTGCATGGGTCAGGTCGGGTCAGGTTTTTGTCCGACTCGACCCAACTTGGTTTTTATAGGTCCGGTATTTTGACCCGACCCGCTTTCATTTGATCCAAGTCAGGTCTGACTTGGATTGGATTTTGTTGAACTAGTTCAGAACCAGTTTGGATCTGACCTGACTTGGTTTCTGAAGTGGGTCTGACTTGGTTTCTAAACTGGGTAAATCTGACCTGACCCGTTTTTGACTTTGTTTTCTCACAAAATTTTGTCGAAATTTTTACGTTGCAAAAGACGAAATTTTCGTTACAAAATTATTTTTTCGTCGAAATTTTTACAAAAAAAAAAATTTCTATTGAAATTTAGTTTCCGTCAACAGTTTTGACGAAAATTTTTTCTTCCATCAAATGTTTTAAACGAAAAAAGAATTTTGTCAAAAAATTTGACGGAATGTTTTTCATTCAAAATTTCGATGGGAATGTGTTCTAACGAAAATTTTGACGAAAATTATTTCGAGGGAAATGTTTCATTTGAAACTTTCGACGAAATTTAGATTCTATAAAAAAAATTTACAGAATATTTTTTTCGTCAAATTTTTTTTTTTTGTCAAAAAAATTTACGGAATTTATTTATAGAAATGTGTTTCGTTGAAACATTTGATGGAAATTTTTTATCAAAAAACTTGACGAAAATATTTAGTTTAAAATTTTCGATGGAAATGTGTTTCGCTAAAACTTCTGACGAAAATTTTTTTTTGTCAAAAATTTAACGAAAATTTTTTCGTCGAAAACTTTCGCCGAAATTTGAAATCTGTAAGGAATTTTGATGAATTTTTTTTCCGTCTAAATTTTTTGCCGTCAAAATTTTTTGATGAGGAAAATGTTTCCGTCGAAAACTTTCGCCAAAGTTTGAAATCTGTAAAGAATTTTGATGAAATTTTTTTGCCGTCAAAAATTTTTGATGACGAAAATATTTCCGTCGAAAACTTTCGCCAAAATTTGAAATCTGTAAAGAATTTTGATGAAATTTTTTGCCGTCAAAATTTTTTGATGACGAAAATGTTTCCGTCGAAAACTTTCGCCAAAATTTGAAATCTGCAAAGAATTTTGATGAAATATTTTGCCGTCGATATATTTTGCCGTCGATATTTTTTGCTGTCAAAATTTTTGGATGACGAAAATGTTTCCGTCGAAAACTTTCGCCAAAATTTGAAATCTGTAAAGAATTTTGTCGAAATTTTTTGCCGTGAAAATTTTTTGATGACGAAATTATTTCCGTCGAAAAATTTTGCCAAAATTTGAAATGTGTAAAGAATTTTAATGAAATTTTTTGCCGTCGAAATTTTTTGATGGAAATGTGTTTCGTCGAAATTTTCAGTGGAAATTGTTTTGAGGAAAATGTTTCATTTGAAACTTTCGACGAAATTTAGATTTTCTAAAGAATTTAGACAAAATATTTTTTCTGTCAAAATTTCTTATCGAAATATTTTGGTCAAAAAATTTTACGAATTTTTTTTACAGAAATATGTTCCGTTGAAAATTTTGATGGATATATTCTTTATCAAAAAACTTGACGAAAATATTTAGTCGAAAAATTTTTATAGAAATGTGTTTCGCTAAATATTTCGACGAAATTTTTTTTTGTCAAAAAGTTTAACGAAAATATTTTCGTCGAAAACTTTCGCCAAAATTTGAAATCTGTAAAGAATTTTGATGAAATTTTTTTCCGTCAAAGAATTTCGATGAAAATTTGTTTCGTCGAAAGTTTTTATGAATATATTTTTTGTGAAATATTTTGACGAAATTTAGATTCCGTAAAAAATTTTGTCAAAAAAAATATTCCGTCAAATTTTTTTACCGATATGTTTTTAGTCACAAATTTTGATGAAAATATTTTTCGTCAAAAATTTTTGCGAAAATTTTTATGAAAATATGTTCCATAAAAAATTTTGACGTAATTGTTTTACGTTAAAATTTTTCTTTTAATGTAATTGTGATTTTTTTTTTCACATAATGGGTATGGGTCAAGTTTTGGGTCAGTGGATCAATATTAAAACGAGTCAGGTCTAAAACTGACCCAAATAAAAGTGGGTCAGTGTTTAAACCAGTTCAAAAAATATGGATATTTATGGATCGGGTCAAGGTCGGATCAAGAGCAAGGCAAGGGAACCAGTTTTTTTGCACACCCTAGTTTCGTCTCATCAACTTCAATTTACTTTCTTTTCTTTCTTTTTTTACATGTGTGTATTAAAATAACATGCGGTGACTTGTGAATACGGTCCAGTATATGTAGTGTTTGTTTGGAAGGCCCATTGCGCCTAGAGAGAGGCCCACCAGATTTGCACTCGCTCTTGTCTCGAGCTCTTCAACTCTCAAAATCTCCACTTTCACACTTTGAATTCCAACCACAAACATGGCGAATCTCCATTGACATGTGGGATTTGAATCCACCTTCACCATCAGCACCTTCTCTCTCTCTCTCTCTCTCTCGTGCTTAACATAGTAACTATTATACAACGAGACAGTTGATTAACCATATTGTCCCCATTAAGTAAGCAGGTCCACTCGGATGATACTACATATGCTTAATAAACCATCTTATATTATAATAGGGTTTTATTAATCTCATGTCATAGAAACAAATTTGTGAATTCCACCATCTGAAAAATAAAAAGAAAAGAAAAGAAAAAAATATACAGTTATCGAAAAGTGTGCAGGAGAAAAAGTTATCACATGTAACATAAGTGTAGTTTTTTCCATTATAATATGTATTCCATTCTTTTGAATTGGAAAATCACTAGTAGTTGAATGAAGTTTGCAAAACTTTCAAAAGAAGAGACCAAATGGAAAAATAAAATTGATTAAGATACCAAATGAAATTTTCTTAACACTGATAGGGGCCTTCTGCTATTATATGATTTACTATCTAATAGTTCGACTACGCAAAGAAGAAAAGGGGAGGTACAAAATGTTTAATACACAGAACTACAGATCTTGGATTAAGATACCACTTAACCTCAGAATCTGTTTCTTCAATTTGAAGTCACAAATTATTATAACAGCAGGCTACAGATAAACACCGTGGTATCCGAAATAATGGTACTGTGCTAGAAACAAGTTTCGGCATTGATCATTGTGATGCGGAATTTTGAATAGATTATAATTACAATCTTATCGAATATGCCGAAAAAACAAATATATTGGATTCACCTAATGTACATATACACTGACACATCGGGTTAAGAAATAACTATCATGCAGCAAAAACATGATTAATTTTTCTTTTAACAACCACTTCCAAGCCTTACACTTTTGCATTCATTCTGTTAACCGCTAATGCTAAAACTGTCCTATTAAAGAAAAGAGCAAAAATTTAAGTTTTATACTTTTCTATTGATCATGGCTTTTGTTCAAGTATATAGAACCTATGAGGCTGTAAGTAACACTTCCAGCAACATAACCCACAACTCGGTCAAGATAAATCATAGATAGTCCCACATCGAGAGCAACAAGCTACAGAAAAGTGTTTATAAACGATACGCTAAACACATTGGTCACGACCTTACTTGAACAGGATCTGTTCTATAGGCTCGTACCTCTGTATCCTTGAGTTCTAAGGAGACAGGAACCTCAGTCTGGCTGATGAATATAGACCGTGTGATCAGAGCGTGATTAAATGTCGAGTGGTGATTCGTTGAGGATCTTCATCTTCGACGTTGGAGGATCGTTCTCAGTTAGAATTATCTGACTGGGGTGGTCACACGGTTGTCTGACAGACACAAAAATATACTTTTTTGCCAACCTTTTCTTAAATGAATAATATAAGTAAAACACATTACCTCACCTCCCACGATAAGCAACGATTTTGTTCATTGATGCTTTGGTTTGGGTTTCAAGGAGACAGAAGAAGAGTATGTTAAGCTGTTAAGCAAGTACTTGCATGCCCCATTGGAGAATATTGTGTGCCCTGCTAAAATTGAGGTTCTGCAAGTGGAATAGACGAGGTAGTCTTCACTTTTTTTAAGGTTACATTTGATAAAGGAGAATTTTTTTTTATTCGAAAATCTTAATTTTAAAAAATATGATAAAAATATTTCGTTTACAATAATATCAGAAAATATATTTTACAATAAGATCAGAAAATTACAAATTTAAAAAAATTTAATTTTTTGAAAATCCAACAAAATACCTTATATCAAACACTCGGAAAGGATAACTTTAATTTCCTTCCTCCACAGTCAAAATACAGATCCATGTACCAAAAAATGAGCAGAGAAGGATTTGTCTTGTAGCTATTTGAGGTAGGGGAGTTGCCACGTTGAAAGGATAACATTTTTCTTTCACCCAAAAAAAAAAGTAGAAAGAGTTCAATAGGCTTAAAGCTAAAGGGATCAGTATTTTTCTTTTTTAATTTCTCAACAGGTCATCCTTCAGATTATATTCGATTATATTCGATTTGAGTATTTGTTAGACTCTTAAAAGGGATAGCTTTCCCATATCCTTCTATCATTTGTAGGGCTCGAATTTGAAACTTTTGATTAAGAGATTCAAATTTCTTACCATCTATGCCAAAGGTGAGTTGAAATAAATTGGCCTAACCTCACCTTAAAGGGCTTTTATATCTTCGGGAAAAAAAAATTGAAAGCCCAACCAACAAGGGGGGTTTGGGTAAAAAGTCATGATCTAATTTGTCTATCAACCACCTAATCTAATACCTTATTTGGTCACTTTATTATTTTTTTAAAAAATAAAAGAAATTATAAATATTGTATGATGAGAACACTGCACAATTATTCGTGTTGCTTGGAGTTGTGGTAAGAAAACAATTTTATTTAGACTGGTATTTCTCAATAAGCAATTACCAAATGTGGTTTAGCATTCGTCAAAGAGAAACAGTAATGATAATCCGGGGATGTAGAGCAACCATGTTATTTTATAGCCTCAGCATGTTTGTTGATCTGGCTCAAGCAGTGGCGGAGGCTCGTATGTGTGATCTTGACCTGGGTTAAATTTTAACAAATTATATTTATTATATATAATTAATTATAATTTAGCTCGAATTAACATTGTAATTTGACCCGAGCTACAATTTGTAATTTAACCTTATCTAAAACTTAAAATATTTTTTATAAACGATTTGTGTAAATTATATTAAGTTATGTGTTCAATTTTCAGTTGTATAAAAAAATAAAATATTTTTAGTAAAATTAAAAAAATATTTAATAAAATTATAACTTTTCTTAGCACAGGTGCTCTATATTTAATATAATATAAATATATTATGATATAAAATAACTAAAATTAAAAAAAAAAAATACACATAAATTTTTTGACCCGAACTTAAGTTGGAAACCGACTCCGCCACTGGGCTCAAGCAAATCTATCCTAATCGCCTCGGATCATGAATATCATATTTTAGGGCTGTGGCCACAATAGGTTGAGCATAAACCACAGAGGGTTTTTTAATCGGGTATGTTAATCTTAATCCTTAATTTTGTTCTAAGGCTATGAAAGCTTCTTCCCATCTCACAATAAAGAACTCGTTAATTTTGATTATGGAATATAGCCCGTATGTATTGGAATAAAACATGGCCAAATATAACTTAAATCGTCTATTTCGTAATGATAATATGTATTCCATTTGCTTGCAGCAGCGTGGGCTTGTAAACCATCTTAGCAAAATGTCTTTGAAATTTGAATTGTCTTCCCACTGCAATGCAGCCTAAAACTTAGACAATAAAGAAAGAATGTAAATGCAAAAATTGTCCTACATGGTGCTAAAATCGTCCCCAGAACAGAATGATCTCTCCTTCTAGCTGCTGGAGCACTTGCTGAACTTGAGGTCGTGTCGTGCTGATGGAGAAGGATCAACACAGTGCAAAGCGAGCTTCAATGTGTTTAGCAACTCATCACCAACTGTTGATGCATCTCTCATCAACTCCACATCAAAAAGGAGGTACAAGATACCAAATGTTAAGTGTTTAGCACAGAATTTGTTTCTTCAATTTGAACTAACAAATTATTATAACAGCAGGCTAGAGATAAACATCATGGCATCCAAAATAATGATAATGCTCTAGAAACAAGTTTCGGCATTGATCATTATGATGTGGCATTTTGAATAGATTATAATTACAATCTTATTGAATATGCCCAAAAAACTAAATATATTATACTCACCAAATGCACATACATATATACACTTGAGGCTTGGGGTTTAGAAATAACAATCGTGCAGCGTAAACATGATTAGTTCAGTTTTGCTTTTAATAACAACCACCAAGCCTTGTACTTTTGCATTCATTCGGTTAACCGCTAATGCTAAAACTATCCTATTAAAAACATTGAAAAATTCTGTTTTATATTTTTCTATTGATCATGGCTTTTGTTTAAGTATAAAGAACCTAGGAGTCTGCAAGTAACAGTTCCAAACCAACATAACCCACAACTCAGGAGACAAAGGTGATCATATATAGTCCCACATCGAAAGAAGCAAGCTACAGCAAAAGGTTTATAAACAACACGCTGAAAACATTGGTTACGACCTTACTTGAACAGGATCTGTTCTATAGGCTCGTACCTCTGTATCCTTGAGTTCTAAGGAGACAGGAACTTCAGTCTGGTTGACGAATAGAGACCGTGTGATCAGAGCGTGATTAAATGTCAAGTGATGAACCGTTGAGGATCATCATCTTCGACGGTGGAGGATCGTTCTCAGTTAGTATTATCTGACTGGGGTGGTCACACGGTTGTCTGACAGACCCTATTCATTTTTTATTTTTTTTGTCATTTAGCAATTTGCCAACCTTTTATTAAAGGGTTTACATGTAACATGAACACAACAACTTTCTTATGCACACAGTATTTTAGCACGCAAAACGAATCTCTATTATTTTTTTGTTTTTTTGTCATTTAGCAATTTGCCAACCTTTTGTTAAAGGTTTACATCTATCATTTAACATGACAACAACAATTTTCCTATACACACAACATTTTAGCATGCAAAACAAATCTCTATAACATAACATAATCACTTTTCCTACAACATCTATTATTTTATTTTTTCAGAAATATAAGATAAAATTAAACAACAAAGCAAAGGACAGAACCGAAGTAAAATTTTGATTGAGAACGAAGTTGTGCTTGATTACCTCACCTCCCACTATAATCAACGATTTTGTTTAGTGATGCTTTGTCTTGGGTTTCAAAGGAGACAGAAGAAGAGTATGTTAAGCACATGCACAAGCACTTGCATGCCCCATTGGAGAACGTTGTGTACTTGTGTGCTTCCTGCTGAAAATGTGGGTATCACTCTCCTTAAGGATAACTTTAATTCCCTTCTTCCACAGTCAAAAAAAGAGATCCATGTAACCATAAAATGTGCAGAGAAGGTTCTGGCTTGTAGCTATTTGAGGTAGGGGAGTTGCCACGTTGAAAGGATCATATTTGTTTTCACCAAAAAAAAAAAAGTGTTCAATAGGCTTGAAGGGAGCAATATTTTTTATAAAATTTCCGGAAAGGCTGAAATGGGTTGGCCTAACTTCATCATTGAATGGGCTTTTATCTCTTTCAAATAAATTTTGAAAGCCCAACCCACAATGGGGTTGTGGTTCAAAAGTCATGATCTATTTTGTCTAGCAACCACCTAATCTAAAACCTCATTTGTTGACTTTATTATTTTTTTGAAAAACTAAAAAATTATTGATATTGTATGTAGGGGTGTTTGCGGTCTGGAGTGGATCGGTTTTGGAAACAAAAATTATCTGATCCAATTCCTTCGGTTTGATCATATAATCATCCATTCGGTTTTGATTTTTTTTTCAAATCTGATCCAATCCAATCCAATTTTTTCGGTTTGGATTGGATCGGTTTTCGATTTTTTGAAAATTCTAAAATTTATTTCATGATTATTGTGCAAATAACATCTTTTGTATATATTGGCTTTGTAAATTTTTTTTTTGAAATACAAAAGTATTAGTAAACTATAATATAATTTTTAAAATTTTGGCAATGAGATATGAAGCTCTACAAAGATAAAATTTTGTTGATTAGATATGACTAGATTTTTTCTTTGGTTCAGTTTATGGGTTAATGAGTTGGGTTTAGAAATTTTTAGGCTATGATTAGGGAAATACCCACGTAGGTAAAGAGAAATTAATATATTGGATCGGTTTTCATCAACACATCCAAAAACCGATCCAATCCAATTAAAATTTGTGGTTTTTAATCCGTTTTTGATTTTTCAGTTTTCGATTTATTCAGTTATCAATTTTTCAATTCGGTCACCGCGGTTTGAATCGGTTTGGATCAGTTGATGAACATCATAATTGTATGATGAGAAAAAGTTACCTAACATAATTTAATTTAAAAAATTTATTTTTATAATTCACGAAAGAGAAAAGGTTGTACGCACGAAAAAGCGAAATTCACATTAATGGCAATGAGGTGGCAAAGAAAACATAGAAACAGCTAAGTGCGACTTTATCCAAAAGCATTTGAATGAAAATGCAACGTGTTTCACTTACAACCTTCGAACTTCACCATGCGGGCCCCATATTACATTAAATGTCGCTTATCCAATTGTAGGTTCCCACGCAACCACAACATGTTGCCGCGTGTCATGTACACTAACTCTCTGACCGTGTGATCCTACCGACGACCGAATCAAACACCATTACAGCCATCAACAAGAATTTCGTGCGATCTACGGAATAATTCAACTTTATCTATTTTTTTTTTCTTACTAATTTTATTTATCTGCATTTATTTTTCGTCGCTTCCGTTTCCATTTCAAGCCTGCAACTTTACACGTCGATTTCCCGTTGCTTTTGGATAAAGCTTTTTGTGCCCTTTCCTTTTTGTGCACTCTGCTTCTTTTGCTGTGTTTGGGAGGAGGTGTTTTTCGTTTTCATTTTTCTCGAGAAAATCCGAAGGAAAGTGAAGCTGAAGAGATAGGTTTTTAAGCAAAGGAGAATTAAATGGCTGAGATTTTGACCAAGACCAGTTTGGTTTCTTCTTGGCATGTGAATAGAGAACAGCATCATCGAAGGGTATCCATGGTTCCCAAGAATTGTAGCTTCAACTCTGATGTGGGAAGCTTCCCTTCTTTGAAGCTAAAATCTCAGATTCTCAGATCTTCTTCCTTTTCATCTGAGTTTCATGGCAAAAAACATGTCTTTCGTGTAAAAAGAGCAATACCCAACAGGGTCAATTCACAATTTCAAACTTCAACTGGTGCTCAGGTTTGTAATAATACCCCTCTGATCTTTAACCCTGATCCGATTTTATTTTATTTTATTGAAAAATAAATAAATTGGATTCTACTTTTTGCAAGGGTTAAGACCCTTTTAGTTATTGGAAATTTTGTTAATTTTTCTGAAATCTTTCCAACATACTTCTATTTTATTTATTTATTTTCATGAGGTGTTGTAATTCTGTAATGGGTTTTCTGGAACTTTCTTTGTAACGTTTATGGAATTTTGCAGATGACCCTGAGAATAGGGAAAGTTCAGAAGTGGTGGGAAAAGGGACTTCAACCCAACATGAGAGAGGTTACTTCGGCACAAGACCTTGTGGACTCACTATCAAGCGCAGGGGACAAACTTGTTGTTGTTGATTTCTTCTCCCCTGGTTGTGGTGGATGCAAAGCCCTTCATCCTAAGGTACTCTTCACCCTTTTGCTGATTCATGAATTTTATTATTTGCAAGTGTGGGTAGTGATTCTGATGTTCCTTGGTTTATGGTGTGGCAGATCTGTCAACTGGCTGAGATGAATCCTGATGTTCAGTTCCTTCAGGTGAACTATGAGGAGCATAAATCTATGTGTTATAGCCTTAATGTCCACGTTCTTCCCTTTTTCCGCTTCTATAGAGGTGCTCATGGTCGCTTATGCAGCTTTAGCTGCACAAATGCCACGGTTAGTGTCAAGTTTATCCCATGTTTGGCTTAATAATATTATGCCTTTTTTGTTGTTATTTAATTACCTGGTCTAGCTTTGGTCAAATTCATATTTTGCATGTTTGAAATTTGGGTAGCACGGCTATGCTTGTTCATTTGTTCAAGAGATTTCACCTCCCTTTCTTACTAACCTAGTTGCTATGCTTTATTGGCATTTAACTAATTGTTCATTGTATTGTGCTTATTTTAACTAATTTGAAGATAACTGATAAAGTTTGATTTTAATTACAGATCAAGAAGTTTAAAGATGCATTGGCCAAACACACCCCAGATAGATGCAGCTTGGGCCCAACTAAAGGGTTAGAGGAGAAAGAGCTCATAGCTCTGTCTGCCAACAAAGATCTTTCCTTCACATACTCACCAAAACCCTTTCAACCTGTGCATGCCCCTGCAAACGATGAGCTAGCAGTTGAAGCTGCTCCTGCTGCACCTTCTAGTTCAGAGTCCCTTCCTTTGTATCCATTGACACCCAATTCTGAGGTTTCTAAAGAGAGAACCCTGACCATGGCTGGGAGATGATGTGGTTAGTTTGTAAGCAACCCCATCTTCTGACTTCATCCCTTGTACAGTGTAGGTTTGGTGTAATATCTTAACGTAGTATATACTTGTGAGAATGAAGATATCATTGAAGATCAAGTCGCATAGTGTGTATTCCTTCTTCAAGGCAGTTGGATTTATGTTTTTTTGGATCCATGCCTTTGTAATATTAGGGAAGTTAGAAGCTGTAGAATTATTAGTTTCTCTTTTTTTTGTATATGAGGAATCAATCTCTACTGTTGTAAAATGAATGTTTTATTTCTTAGCCTATTATTTCTTGTGCGATTTATCTTTTCCTCAGTTTTCCAGATGTGGAAGTAGGGGTCATAATTATGCTTTGATATGCATGGTAACATATGAGGAATGAGAATGGATCCTATTATTTCTTGTTTTAGCATGATCATTTGATGATCATAATTTTAATGACAAAATTTGTCTCGTGTTTGGTTTGGTTATGGGAATGGATTGATCATTGGTAAAGGAATGAGCATTAATATAATCAAATGAAAGAGATATTCCATTGCAAAAGTGAAGAACTTTCATTCTATTTTTACCCAATTTATAGGTGTAAAACACACCATAACTCATTTGTCCCAAATGGAGGAAAAAATTATAAGTGATCCGGGCTTACGATGGTTCTTCTATTAAAGGGGTGACTCTTAGGGGTGCTGTCGTGACCAAATCGAAAAAAATTGCAAATTTTAATTGGATTGGATCGGTTTTTGAATTAGTAGATGAAAATCGATTCAATATATTAATTTTCATTTACCTACTTGGTTTTTTCTCAATCATAGCTCAAAAATTTCTAAACCCAAGACTCGTTAATCCGTCAACTAAATCTAAAAAAAGAACTTATCAATAAATTTTATCTATGTAGAGATTCATATCTCATTTTTCAAAAAAAAATTATATTATCGTTTACTGATGCTTTTATATTTAAATAAAATAAAATTACAAAGTCAATATATACAAAAGATGTTATTTACACAATAATCATGAAATAATTTTTAAGATTTTCAAAAAACCGAAAACTGATCCAATCCAAACCAAAAAAAATTAGATTGGATAGGATCGGATTTGAAAAAAATATCCAAACTGAATGGATAATTACATGATCAAATCGAATGAATTGGATCAGATGATTTTTGCTTCTAAAACTGATCCAATCCAGACCGCGAACACGTGACACTTGAGGAAATGAGTGAAATGTGCTGTGGGAACATTAAAATAATTCTCTAAATTTAGATGAGCTAAGCTTATTAATTCTAAAAAATTTAGTTTTATATTTTGTAATTAATTATATAATATCAAAGGTCATCATTCCTTTTAGGTCTAGTTCAATCCAAGCAAAACATAATTCCTTTCCAATCCTAGTCAGTAGTCGTATTCCTGTTAGTATTGCAATTCCATCAAACCAAACGAACCTGAACTCATGGTGCCACTCTACTTGTTGTTTAGTTTACTAGTAAATCCATAAGTCAAGGCAGTTCTATACTTAATATAGCCCCAGTAATTAGAGATCATATAATATTTACACGAAGGAAAGGAACATTAATATTTGGAACTGGTTATTTTATAGGAAAATAAAAATTTTGTGGAGGCACATTAGCCAGCATAGTATAGATTTGATGGGATTTCCTTTGAATAAAAACAAAACATAATGTTGTCTTCTATCTACATATGGACCCACTGTACAACGAAAGTAACACAACACCTGTTTCGTACAACTCATAGGGTTCAAGACAAAGGAAGCTTCAAGAAAATGCAGGGTTTTCGAAATATTTGGACAAATGGAAAAAGAAAGTGGATAACGTTGCGTGTGCAAGTGTGTTGAGGTAGGGGTGAACGTGCTGTCTTCCTTTGCACAAAATTTTTGTGACTATGGGGTCAATTCTATGGAACATTTCATACGTCAAAAAATTGAAGGTTTTTTTTTTTTTTTTTTGGCTCCGAATTTGCTGATTTCAAATTCACCGAAAAAGCATTTGACTTGAACAACTGATAATAGTTTAAATTAAAATGGATATTATTATTAATATAAGTAAGTTATAATAATAATTTATGGTTTTATTAAATATTTTATTTAAATAATAATAATTTAATTTTCGAGATAATTATTGAATTTTGTAAGATTTTGTGAAGATATCAATAATATAGATATAGAAATTTCTGGTTTTCAAGGAAGATATAAATATATAGAAAAATACCACATGGCTAAGGGTGAAAGTGGGCTGGGCTGGGCCAATTTTGTTCCAAAAAGTTCAAGCCTACGTCAAAAAATTTCAATTTGGCATGACCCAAGCCTAATACGAGTCTAACTGTTAGTCTGGCTTGACCCGTTTATAAAAAAAACAAATGGTCTGCCCTAATCCGTTAGCCTATTAATTTTTAACTTCCAAGCAGAACCATGAATCAACTTTACAAAATACTTAAATTCTGTTGCTAAACCAAAAATCATAATTTCAACGTCCAAACAGAATCATGAATCACAACAAAACTCATACAATCTACATTTAAGTCACTTTCAAAAGCAAAATACTCAAATTAAATAACATATATTTCATCCGATCTAACAAACAAATTCATACTATGTAAATTAAAATAACTACATGAATCCAACAAACACATCATGATGCTTGTAGTAAGTATAACATCTCCCAAAAACCTTTTACTACATTCATATACACAATCTAACATGCTGAAATGTTGGTTCCTCCTACATGAGAAATAAAATTAGATTTCTATTAAGATATAATCGAATATAATTAAGTTATAAATAATTGCAATTGATTAAATTTATATCTTTTATTTTTTCTTCAAGGCATACTTATTCTATTTTATTTTATTTAAAATAAATAGTACAATATAGGCTGACCTGTAGCTTATGGGTCAGGCATTGTGAAAGTGGGCCAACGACTTTTTTATTAAACAAGTTTTTTCAATGCCCAAACTCGGCCTATTTTACGAAATTTACTAAGTTAGGTCTGGGCTGCCGTAGGCCCGACCCAGTTTCATCCCTACACATGGCTAATTTAGTTGGTAATACAGATTATGTAAAATGAGGATAGAATTTAAATTCAAATCCCACCAAATATATAAGGAGGGGATTTTTAAGTGTAATTAAGTTTTGACTTAAAACTAATTTTATATTGGCTCAAAGAGTTCAAACTTGTTGGGATGTTCTAGGAGCCGACTCGCCTCAAAAAGATAATTAAAATTGATATACCAAAAAAAAAATATAAATAAATCTAATTTCCTTGTTGTCTCTCTCAATTATGTATATCAAAAAAGAGAAATACAATTCTCCTATTATAGAAGATTTATTGTCTCATGTTATAGAAACAAAGCATGTGAGATCCACCACCATATATAAAAAATAAATAAAATAATACAATAACAAAATAATAAAAAAAAACCTTAATCAAAATTTTTTGATGAGTCCGTTGGAGGGGGAATGTTTTATCTAGCATCGAGAAACAATTCCCCCATAAAAAAAACTGGGAAGTATGAAAAAAAAAATCTAATATTGGATTTTGGGTGTACTGAAATTTGTATGAATAGCAAGTGAATGATAGCAACATAGATCGAAAGGGAGCATGGCAAGAAACAAAACTGAAAAAGATCGAACATTTCAACTGGCTCTATTTTGTATTTTCTGAGATTGATATTTTCTTTTATTTTATGTAGCCAATTTATATTTTTAGGACGAAGCTTTAACCTTTGTATTGGATGATTTATTTTTGAGATTAAGTTTCTTAATTCTATAATTGCATAATGGAAATGATGATTAATTTTTAATTTTTATTTGATTTATATTTCTAAATTCTCTTGCAATAAATAAGTTTATATTGATATTTTGATCACATCCTTAATTCTTGTAGTCTTAAGCATCGGTTGTGCAATAATATTTAATATTTTGTGATCTATGATTGAATAATTCATCCTCGCTACTACTTTCCGTCGCAAATTCCCTTGCAAATGATTTTGATAGATTATTCTTGTTCTGGATTGTTTAGGTTGGCCCATGCCCGAGACTAGGATTGTGATGGATTATTCCTCTCACTCGTAGGAAAATAATTCTGTTACTCCCGATATACCGAACATCGTTACATCATTTGTTAAATATGGCAAAAAGTAATACTTTTACCAAAATATTTACCATACACCCATCGCATTATGAATTCAGTGCGATGAACATATTAAAATGAGGTATTTTTTGTGATGTGCATATAAAAAAAAAAAAAAATTCAAGTGTCAATTTTTTGTGGTGTGATATGTGTATGTCATGAATAAATCTACTGCATTCACCAACCTTTAGATCGTTTAGTTTATGAGCTTAATTTATCTGATGTTATAGTAAATAAAATTATTTTTTACACATTCATAAAATTATGTGAGAATGATATATTTTTTTTTTCTCTTTTCTCCTCACATGATTTTATATAGGTCCCACATACTTTTATGTGTATGTAAAAGATAAAATTATCTTCTACAACATGAGAAATATCAAACCCTTACTTTAATGTTATTTTGCATCAGGAGAAAATTTTTATTGCACCGGGATGGGAGCACTGAAATCGGTGTTTCATTTTATTAAAAATGAAAAAAATTAGAACTTAAAAGAAAAATATTAAAAAAATGAGTAAAAAGGAAAAAAAAAATTGGGAGCATCAAAGTTTTTCTCTTTGCACCAGATATGTGTAGGTATATATTTGGGTACAGACCTCTCAAATACTTTGGTGTTGGAAAACACTAGCATATTGCAATAGATCTGCCTAGCTAAGTTGTGTTGTTATAACAGTAGTTAAATATTTTTTGGATTCGTTTTTTTTAGATAAGTTATTTTTATTGAATCTAAAACAAAATTATTTTGGGGTGAAAATCAATATGCTTTTGTAATTATAATTTATTCCAAATTTATAATAATTTTTATCATTATAATTTTTTAACCCAAATTAAAGCCATTTTTTTTTTGTTCAACATAGTAATTTTTAGGGATATCAATGCCTAATCCATTCTTAAATCTAATGTCCTTTTTTCAACTCATTCTCAGATATAGTTTTCATTTTATTTATTGTCCTTTTAATACTAGTTTATCTATACTCAACCTTTTTTTTTTTTTTGGTGAAAATCTATACTCAACCTTAACTAGTGAGCCTACATGGAAATTCTGTGTGTTATAATTTTCGTGGAAACGAGATATTCCTGTTCACCTGACCCTTTATTATTTCTCGGACCATATTCTCAGTTAGCAAGTGTAGTTAATTTATTCTTCTGTTTCTTTCGGTTGTATATTTACGGGTACATGACAAACTATTATGCCCAATTGCATTTTGTTAGTGAACCATTGATTGCATTTGACTTTGAGCTTTTCCAATGCAACTCACTTATCGCATAAATGAGAATTGTGTTTCATAATTAAGAAGAGCAAATAGCAAAATAACAAATCAACCATTTGTAAGACTGTTTAAAAACACCAAAACAACACAACACAACACATACACACATGCAAACAATGAGATAGATAAGAAAATACTATATTTTTAATATTTTGTCTTTTATTAGGTGAAATCTAAACAGACCAGTGGTAACAATCTCTTTGTAATTAATTACAAGAGTAAAACTTATCCCACACCCTCTAATCGAGTTTAATTGGAGAATGATTTTTTTTTTTTACTAATATTACTAATAGAGTTGGTCTATAATGTTTAGTAGAACCAGTATAGGATTTCACAAAATATTATTAAAAAGAGCATAAAAAAATGTGTTATTAACATTCTTTGATAATGGGCTAACACAGTATAACATGACATTTCTCAAACACTCCAAAAAGAAAAAACAACGTGATCTTAGTGTCCATTCACATTAAGGGTGTAAATGGACTAAATTGACTTATATGGGTCTATGGCCTCGCTTATATTAGGTCAGGTTTGACCTAATATAAATAGTAAAATAGAATAGACCTAGACTTTTAAAAAAAATCTATTTAAAAAACATATCATAGGTATTTTTATACATGTTGGGCCTACAAGCCTACTGATCGACCTATATCATATTATTTATTTTAAATAAAGTTATTATTTTAATAATTTTAAATAATAAAATAATATTATATTAGTTATTCTTTTAATTGTTGAATGTTTAATAATAGACTTAAACAAGATAACAGGCCTAAGCCAACACTTTTATTTTTTAAATATAGGTCAGGACAAACTTGTAATTTGGGGTCTACACAGGCTAGGCCAGACCCAATATTTTTTACACAGGTCTGGCCTATTTAAGCCAATGTCTACCCTAACCTAGCCTATCTACACCCCTAAATCACAGTAATTCAAATATTATATCAATCGAATTACTTAATTGAATATAAGGATTAATATCTCTCATGTTATAAAAAATAATTTTATTTCCTATATATATATATATATATATATATATATATATATATATATAAAAGTGTGTGTGATTCATATATGACCATGTGAGGAGAGAGAGAAATAGAAAACATGGACTCCACATACTTTTATATGTATGTAAAAGATAAATTTATCTCTTACAATATTAGATCAAGATTTTGTTCAAAGTATATTAAAATTTTCAAAGAGCGATGCAAGAGTCTAATTTCCACCATCAATAAAATCATTTCATCTAATTAAAATAAGGGATTAATATTTCTTATATTGTATAAGATGATTTCTCGTGTTGTAGAAGATAAAATTATATCCTACGCACATAAAAGTGTGAAAGCCATGCAAAGAGAAAAGAAAGAAAAAATAGGCCTCACATACTTTTATGTGTGTTGACAATGGCGGAGCCAGAAAAATTAAGAAGCCAATGCCAAAAATCAATCAACCATAGAAGAAGCTAGTGTCAAAACCAGCAACTATAGAGGAAGCAAACCATTTACAGTTACAGAAGATCAAAAAAAGCCTTTGATTTATGAAATCAGTTGGCACTTGCTGGTTCTAATTTGGCTCTCTCATTATGTGTAGGAAATAATTTTATCTCCTACAACATCAAAAATATTAATTCCTTAAAATAAATGCATAAACGAACAAACGTGAACAATTTTACATATCTCTAACTTTATGATAATGATTAATTAAAACTTTCATTCAACCATTCTCTTTTTTGTGTAAATATCCTTTTGTGAATTTTTAGAATAAAAAATCCATTTCAATGAAAATACTGTTTAAAAAAAATTTAGGATTTGCATGATTATGTTCTGATATTTTAGTTCTTAAAATTGTTTTGCGGAATAGTTATGAAAAAATATGTTTTATTTATTTATTTTTTTAAGTTAAAAGTCATGAAAAGCGTATCCAACCAAAAATTGGAAATTAGTGCTTTGGCTTTTGACCATAGTCGGAAGAAATGTACAACGACCAGAATTTTAACTTGATTTTAACGGCTGTCTTTTTAATGTAAAAATGTTTTTTTTCCCGTGACTTGGTATTGCAACTTGAAAGTAAATACCTTTTAGAGAAAATAGTCACATTATTTTTTTGAAATATTTCCAAATTGGAGCCTATAATCACGAACCGTATCACACAGAGGTGGACACACGTCCAAGAGAATAGGGCACGTGCCCACCCTTAAAATTTGATGTGAAAATACAAAAATACCCTTCACTTAAAATTCAAGTTTCTTCCTCCTCCTATTTTATTTTTCGCTTTTTTTCTCCTCCACCCGTGACCTAACCACCTCCATTAGACCATTATCCAAACCTAAGTACCTAACAGCAGTCATCAGAGAGCTCTATACAATTTTTGTATGATTAGTTTGTTCTCATTTTTTATATATGATTTTTGAAGTTGCATTTTCATTCCTATCTGTGTAAGTGTGCAAAGGGTTGGATCTTATTTGGCTTTTTTTGTGGTCCTTTCATAGGTGCAGCACATAAAGGACGAAGTGGCAGGGGACCAATCATATAGGACACCTTCACTTCACCCATAGCCATCCAGGTTTATTTATTTTATCTCTTTCTTTTTTTTACCCTTTATTTCTTTATTTTAAGCAGAGTCTAGCATGGTTCTTTTCCTTTATCAAAGTAATCTCATTTGTTTCTGTTTTTAACATAGTCATTTATACATATTAATGCTTATATTATATAGGATTCATTGCTACAGGGAATATTTTGTTACTATTTACTCCTTAAACCGGTTTATGATGCCCACAAGTTTGAATAGGTCATGCATAAGTAAATAAAATAATAAAAATATTGCTAAAATATTTATTTGGTTAGCACTAAAGAAGATGTACTTTAGTGACTCCCCGTTTTCTTCAATTTGCTTGACCAAATTGATTTTAGGGGCTAATATGTGGAAAGAAAATACAAAGGTCATCTCTTTCAACAATATAAGTCATGTTGCTGATAGGCAAAGAACAAATAATTGGAATTAAAAGTAATAGAAAAGGAAAACAATGAACCGACTTCATCACATTTTGAACAGAGTTGATTTATGCAATTGTGCTTAAAGCTTTAATCAGACAAACTGAAAAATATTGAGACATTTTCTTGGTTCTTCAGTACAAGATTAATTGACAGTGAATGATTTTATAATAGATTTCTCAAATAGATTCCTTCTATAGGAGCTAAATAGGAGCTGTATGGTTTTTATTTTTTATTTATTGATTCATTTTTTTCATTTGCCATTTTTTAGGATGGAAAGGTACGTAGGTTCTTTTCTTACAAAGTCAAGTAGTGGTAGTACTAAACGTTCTCGATCTGAATCTGCGTCTATTGATTTATTTCAAGATAAACAAAATGAGTGTGCTACTCCCTCAAGTCAGAACAAACCAACAGTAGAAGGTCCACAGGATTTGTATGTTCCTGATCCGGGTAAAATACTTCTTACTATGAGATTTACGAAGAGTGCTCAAGAAAGGGAAATGATTCAAAGAATTTATCTAACGAATGGTCCTTGTCAACCAAAAATTGACAACTTTCCTCAATCCCTAATTGTGGGTAAAATGCATAGATTTAATCCTCAATGGTACAATGAGATTGACACTTGGTTGGAGTATAATGAATCAAAAGATGCTGTATTTTGCTTACATTGTTATCTATTTAAATGTGAGCATGGTGATGGAAGGGGTGGTCATGATTCATTTGCAGGAGAAGGATTTAGCAATTGGAAGGACAAACAATGGCTTTTTAAACATATTGGGAAAGTTAGAAGCATTCATAAGTTGTGCTTCAGTGCTGCCAAATATTTGATGAATCAAAATCAACATATTCACATTGTTGTGTCTGGCATTTCTGACAAAGCCAAACAAGATTATCGTATTCATTTGAATGGTTCTATTCGATGTATTCGATATCTCATACAACAAGGTTTGACTTTCCGGGGACATGATGAGACAGATGCTTCAATGAATCAGGGAAATTTTGTGGAGCTTGTAAAATTCCTTTGTGAAAGCATTGAGGAGGTAAATAATGTATCTTTGAATAATGCCTCAGAGAATCTCAAAATGATAGCTCCCTCAATTCGGAAAGATATTACTAATGTTGCTGCTAGTTTAGTTATCAGAGCTATTATTTTAGATATTGGGGATAATTTCTTCTCGATATTAGTTGATGAAGCTCGTGATATATCAATTAAAGAACATATGGCCATTGTTTTAAGATATGTGAACTGCAACGGTGACATTATTGAGCATTTTCTTGGTCTTGTTCATGTTTCAGATACTACATCTAGTTCACTTAAAGAAACGATTGAGATAATTTTTGCCAAAAATGGCTTGAGCTTGACAAAGATTCGTGGTCAAGGTTATGATGATGCAAGCAATATGAGTGGTCAATTCAGTGGTCTGAAAAGCTTGATTTTAGTTGAAAATAATTCTGCTTACTATGTTCACTGCTTTGCACATCAACTTCAGTTAGCTCTAATAGCTTGTGCTAAAAAGGTTTACGCATTAACTGACTTCTTTAATTTTATACCGTTGTTGTGTAATGCAGTTGGTGCTTCTTGCTAAAGAGCATATATTTTGAGAGAAAATCAATTTGATGAGATAGTCAAAAGTATTGCCAGCAATGATGTTCAATCATGGAGAGACTTGAATCAAGAAATGAGTTCGTCACGACCAGGGGACACACGTTGGAGCTCACATTACCGATCATTGGTAAGTCTCTGTACATTGTTTGATCTTATGCTTGATGTGCTAGAAATTATAAAAGACGATGCAACCCTTATGCATGCAAAAAGGTCTGAAGCCTCTGGCCTTATGATGCGTATGCAAACTTTTGAAATTGTATTACTTTTGAACCTGATGATCAAGGTCTTGGCAATAATGAATGAGTTGTCACAAGCACTTCAAAGAAAAGATCAAGATATTGTGAATGTTATGACTCGTGTAAAAGTTTCAAAGGTGTTATTATAAAAGATGAGGGATAATGGGTGGGATAATCTATTTCAGAAGACTGCTGAATTTTGTATAAAATATGATATAGATATCCCTGATATGGAAAGTGTACTTGTATTACAAGAGAGAACAAAACGTAGAGGACCAGTTACTCATCTGCATCACTTTAAGGTTGACATATTTTATGCAGTGATAGATACTCAACTTCACGAGTTGAATGATCGTTTTAGTGAAGTTAGTTCAAATTTGCTGGAATGCATGGCATGTTTAAATCGGTGCAACTTTTTCTCGACATTTGACAATAATAAGTTGTGTGAATTTGCTGGCTTTTATCCTTCAGATTTTGATTTGAATGATTTTGTCATGCTTGAATATCAGCTCGACACGTATATTGTTGATATGCAAAGTGATCCTGATTTTTTGAATTTGCAAGGAATAACTGATCTTGCCAAGAGGATGGTTGAAAGGAAAAAACATATTGTGTATCCTTTGATTTATTGACTTGTAAAGTTAGCATTAACTTTTCCTGTAGCAACTGCATCTGTGGAAAGAGCATTTTCAGCTATGAAATACATCAAGACTGCACTTGGTAATCGAATGGGGGATGAATGGTTGAATGATTGTTTATTGCCATATATTGAAAAAGATGTATTTGATAGCATTAATAATAAGGTAATTATGATGAAATTCCAAAAAATAAGGCCTAGAAGGATGACATTGTAATTATTTTTATTGTAATATACTTATGTTATTAAAATATATGTACTTAAACTTATTGAGTGCCCACCCTTCATTAATTTCCTGGATCTGCCACTGGTATTACACACAATATAAAGCTTAATAAATCTGAAACAAGTCTTTCTTATTAAAATTGATTGAGTATCAGAGCAAGACTGAGCATTTATTACATATGGATCAGTTAATAACTCATCAATAATGTGTGCTATATATATAGCAAGTGCATTGCTGAATTGAAAAAAGCGACCCAGAAAGATTCTTCTAGCTGTATAAAGCCTCACAAGTTGGTGCTTTCCCCAGAATTGTGGGTTTAACATTAGCACATGAAGCAATTGCAGCAACCCCATTGAATTTGAGACCAATGTCATTAAGCTCCACTTCCTCACATGATACGCCACCTCTACAAATAAAAGTGATATACATTTTTGAGTAGCAGAAGTGCCCTTAATATCCTTTAAGGCGATCTTGCTTATCTTTATTTTAGAAGGAGTCTATAGCCATTGAAAAACATATCAAAACATGGGGACATTAATTAGCATCATAAAATTGCCAAGGTAAAATTTGTTAAATGTAAATTTTGTTTGATTACTTAAGTACATGTTTATTGCATTGATTCCATGGACAATACTCTTGATCTATGATGACTAGTGTTCCGTATGTACGACAGAGATGTCTAGCCCAAGGCTAGTAGATTAATATATGACCGAACTTTCTCTCTAAGGTATCTATAAAATAGATCTCTAGAGAAGGAAGGTCACTGTACATAACTAATAATGGCGTGAGCCAATGAGGTGTTGGGTGTACACAGTAACAGCATAACAGCAAGAGAGAGAGAGAGAGAGAGAGAGAGAGAGAGAGAGATTAGGTTATACCTGTAGGTTTTACCTCATATTTATAGAGTTTTACCTGTGGGTATATGAGTTTTGGGCCTTCTATTCATAAGTTCAATTATCCTCTTGCACAATTATTATGTAATTGCTTTTTTTGAAACTTTAGATATATGGGTCTTATGTAGATCCATAACAACTATATAGTATCCTCAAAATGAAAATTAGAGGCAAGAGGAGTTATTGGAGTACGGGTCATGTCTTGATCCTCAAACCATTATATGTGTTTTGCAATGTACAATTACGGACAATCACACTTTCTACAGGCTCTTCATTTGGATACTTTCCAAGACTTCCAACACTAATGCCATGTCCTAGTCCAGTAGTCACATTCATTATAGTTATTTGTCTTGCACCATCCCGTAGTGAAATGCAATCATCACCAGTTCCAATGTAAGAGTTAGTAATGTTGATTTCACTTGATCTTGAATTCCATCTGTGTTAGGACTTACTGCTGGAGCAGTGACTGAAAAGTTTATAAACGTGACATTCTTGCATCCCAAAACATTTACATGAAAAATTTTAGTATCTTTTGAAGTTATGCCTTTAATAAGTGAATTGTTTAGGAAATTGAAACCAAAATTATGTGGGCAAATTACAAGAAACTTGATTAGAAGCATTATTGATAGTAAGAAAATTTTAAAAAAAAGACATATATGTATATATCCTTTACCATGGGAAGCATCTTGCAGTTCTTGTTTTTTCCACAATCATTTTGTTTCCAAGCAGTTTCATCAAGGCCATTAAAAGTTCCAACACTGATAAGGTAAAGAAGTTTATATGCCCAAATATTAGCCATTGATTATTGCCATTATGTTGAGAGGAGTCTGCAGGTGCTTCAATTGTTCCATCAACCTGAACTTCAATTGAAGCATTGCATGGACCTTTAAGATTCACTTGTTTTAACTTGTATCTACCATTAGGAAACAAAACTTTGCTAGGAATTGGTGATGCACATGCTTCTTTCCAAGCAGTTGTGAAAGCCTATAAAGAAAGGACCAAACAAAATTTATTGATGAATGTGAGAGTTAACAAGATTTGAAAAGGCAACGCTATTGTTTTTTACAACTTAATGAACAAACTCTTAGCTAAATATAGATCGGCGGACTGAAAAACAAACCCATAAATATCATTCTGTATGAAAAGTGCAGCCACTATTCATCGAAAACCCAGAATATCCGGATATTCCTCGGGGACATATCCGAATATCAATATCCGGATATTTCCACACCCCATATCCGGATATCCATATGCGGATATTCATATCTGGATATTTCTATCAGAATATCCGGATATTTCGCGACAGAATGCAGTTTTGCATTTTCGCGAAGATATCCCTTCAAGGTTCCATTTTTAACACTACAACACGTTAAAACATGCATCTTTAAGTTCATATACCAGTTGGCTACTTGTTTAACCCATTAAACAAGCCAAGACCTATCCTTTAACTCTTAAAACTCATGATCAAAGGTTCAACAACTTACCCAAGCTTCAAACTCAGGAAATGAAGGCTCTTGGAGCTCACTTGAAGCTCCCAAAGGTTCTGACTTGGACAACCACGAATTTGACACACAAAGGTTGGTTCTTTCTCTTCAAAGATCACACTTTGAAGCTCACGATGCCATGACAATGGCTCTCACACTCAAACCACAAGATCATCCCCTCAACACCTCACAAGGCAGTGACAAAACTCAGAAATGATGCACTCTCCTCACTCACAAAACACTCCACTATGTGTTTACCATGATAAAGAGGGAAGAACCAAGCAAAAAAGTGACAACTTGGGCTATTTCATGAAGGAAGTGGAGGTGGCCATCCATGGAGAGCACACACTCAGAAAGGAGGCACGTAGAGAATGATAAATCTGACCTAAAAATCTGTGCCATGGCTATTTATACCCGAATTACGATTAATCGCACTGTATTAGCGCTAATTGCTACGCTTAACATTTTAATCCCAAACTTTGGAATCTGATCCTACTCATTTTTCTAAGATTTATCATATTTTTATTTTATTTTTCGCAGCACCTTTGCGTTAGGCGCTTTTCCATAACCAGTATCAGTTCTGGCACCAGTTCTCATCATTTTAACTTGAAACTTGTTTTACAAGTACTATATATTATTCTAGTGACATATACACACTTTATATAATTTTTTGAGATACTTCGTCGGTACACATTTATACCGAGTAGCAGAACTGGTATCTACATTTTTTGTCTGAAAAGAGACTTTCAGCATTATTAATCAATTACCATAATTATTTAAGTCTCATAACAATTATTAGGGTCAATTATGGAATTATTTCCTAATTTTACATAATTAATCAATTAATTTCCTTAAATAACGGTGCGAGTTCTTATACTTCAATTGTTCCATCAACCTGAACTTCAATTGAAGCATTGCATGGACCTTTAAGATTCACTTGTTTTAACTTGTATCTACCATTAGGATTCAAAACTTTGCTAGGAATTGGTGATGCACATGCTTCTTTCCAAGCAGTTGTCAAAGCCTATAAAGAAAGGACCAAACAAAATTTATTGATGAATGTGAGAGTTAACAATATTTGAAAAGGCAATGCTATTGTTTTTTGCAACTTAATGAACAAACTCTTAGCTAAATATAGATCGGCGGACTGAAAAACAAAAAAATAGTGCTGTTAAGTAGAGACAAATCATTATGAAGAATATTAATGACTACGAAATTTTGCTTAGCCGTCATCCCTAAAGATAAAAAAGTATGTAACCCTTAAAACAAAATATGGTTATATATCCCTACGACATTCTTTGCTGGTAACTTGAATTGTTGAGTTTGTATACTATTTTTAGCTTTTCATTCTTTAAACCGATTGGAAATTAGAAAAATTGCTATATGGACCGCAAATCTTTACATAAAATGTAACACCCGTGTTAACCCGGTTTGTTGACATGTCATCGTATTAAGCCACGCATAATTAAAAATGCAAAATATCTTTTTCTTTTCAATTATGATG